CCGGTAGAACCCGAAGTTTTCCGAATGGTAGTGATCATAAAAATTACATTGCGGAAGTAAAGCGATGTCATAGCACGATGTGTTGGCATCGATTTCAATTGAAAACTGCATGACAGCTTTCGAAAGAGGTGATTTGCAATTTTTAAAAGGTAAATTGGGTCTTGAAAGAAGAGTTTTTACATGATTCGCAATGATAACAGTTCAAATGTATTTTACCAAATCACGCAATAAACACGTTGTTTTTTTCTTGAGTAGCGTGAACTGATCGTGAACTCCGATTTGACCATGTTATATCGAGGTGGAATTGATTTTGAAATAATTTTAGTTTTAAATCTAAAGACTGTGTCTATCGCAGAAAGTATTTACTTACAAACAAAGAGGTGCTAATTCCACAAATTTGACTAGCCGCTACGTATCGTGCGACTAGGTCTATTGTTTATAAATTATAATCCACGACTGGCAGGATGCGTGTCGGTCGGTAACGTAATTATACCAACAATCAGACAATAGTCCTCGTCGGAAGCATTTCCGTGGTGGTCACTAATTTTGAGTGACGGTCGGGGCCGACCGGTGTGGCGAACAAAGCTTTTTCACATCTGATATTGGCATGTCAAATATGAAATCAAGCGCCGAGGTGGGAACACATAGCGCCGAGGTCCCAAGTGAAGCGCCGAGATTCACAGGTATAGCGCCGCGGACCTCGGCGCTAAAAAGCCCTGGGGAGAACCCTGATTCATTCCTAGGTGTAATTCCATAAACTGATCAATTCAACTAACCTGTGATCGAATCATAATATGTGTAACTCTTTCTTCACAGCGAACCGACAAGACAAAATCCCCGGGTTTACTTTGACTTTCTCTCACAAGATAACTACCATTTTTGCCTTTCTCCATCAAACAACGCTCAGCTTCTTTACCAGAAATGTGACCATGAAACCATCTAAAAGATAAGATAACACATAGCAGGTTGATCACTACAGTTTAATCAAAGTGCTAAGAGATTTCTGATACCAATTTTATTTCTTCATTATGGAGAAATACAAAAGACTCTATGAGAACTACACTTTTAACAAATTATTTGTTTGTTGTATAGTAATGTATTGGAGCATTTACCTTTCTGTTGTTGGATCAGCTGAATTCAAGGGATATAATAATTTTATGATCTCTCCATTTTTTTCTTTCAATTGACCTCTACACTGTGTGTAGTATTCCACCAACTCTGCCAATGTTGCAAACTTTTCACCGCCATACAAATCGTAGAAGTCTCCAGTGTTTTGAATTTTAATATGTGTAACTTCCCCATTACGTCTGAAGAGAAAAAGATTTTATTTTTAATCTGATTATAAGAATTCCAATAAGAAATAATAAAAGGCTCAGTGGTATTTACATTGTAACTGTAATTGCTACATGTAACTGTACATAATTTGTAAACCAGCATTGTCTTAGCTCATTTTGTAACAGCATTAATTGTAAATCAGACTTTATCATTGGCTAAGACGTATTTGTACAGCTTTAGTAAAGGTGTACAGTCTAGAGTTAACAAAAAGATAGAATGCTTGCTCAACTATTGAAAATGTTGACCAAGGAAGGGATTCAAACCCACAACAAGATTAGAATTAATGATTCAGTATACAACACATGTAATTTTTTGTTTCAATTGGAGATACACGTCTAATTGAGAAAATATGGTATATGGAGTTCAATGACCTGAAATACTGAGCAACATTTTAGATGAAAGCACAGAATAACACATGGCATTATTTTTAAATATTGACAACTTAGATACAGCAGTAAAGGTGACTAACCTTACAGATAATGTGAAATCTCCAGGATTACTTTTACTTGGTCTTGCCAGAAAACTTCCATCAAATCCTCGTTCTATCAAGAGTTGTTCTGCTTCTAACCCTGATATGTTAGGATGAAACCACCTATGGAGAACAAGATCACAAATATTTTGTCACAAACACCAAGAGCCAAATGATTTTCAAACCTTTTCCCAAACTTTCTTGCATTTTTCCCCAAGACATTTTGACCCTTAATTCAGGCCAACATGGTAGAAGGGTGGGCACGGGGATAGCAATCTGGGGTAGAAAACTTTATAAAAAAAGACTCTATGCAGAGAAAACAAGCATTTCTAAAATGAATTACGGTAATAACTATGAAAAAATTTACAGACTTTTCAAAGATTTTTTTATTTTTCCTGTAATTTAAAGACAATTCAAAGACTTTCCAGACCTCAAAAATCCAAAGACCCTGTAAATAGTATTCAGAATTTAATTCAATGGCATAATGGCATTAACAATGATTCTGTTTATTAAAACTATGGCAGATTCTTGCTACGCACACAATATGCCATATATTATTTAAATATTTGGAAATACCTACATGCCATTTTAGCGAATTTGACTCACACATGAATTACCAGAATCTTAATTTAGCTAATAATCTCATCATGAAAATATACTATGATTGAATTAGCAAAATTATGGATTAGCTAAATTAGCTAAAAAAAAAAAGGAAAGCAAATGAAAATGATGAACAACTTTGGCGTAATAGTTTTTCTGGCCATTTTATTTTTTCTCATTGTATCTCATCTAGTATAGGTACTGCTATTATTATTAATTCAGTGACTACAGATCTAAATGGTAGAGGACCAACACGCTCAATTTCTCGATTCACAATTCAATTATTCAATCCTGCTAAACTACAACCTGATAGAGAAATTATTTGGGGAGGTGACCACAATTTTACAGCTGATATATTTCTGGATATAATAGGTGGAAACACTTTTTTATGGAAATGTTCTTGTGAAAAACTAAAATATATTTGAAGTTTGATTTAATAGATATCGATGGAGGATACGTAATCCTACCACATATAGATATACATGAAGACATTTCAGATCAAATCAAAGTTGAATCAATTATTTCCTTGTTAGCAATTCTCTCTCTTGGGGGCAAGTAACATAGATATTGTCTCCAGTGTGCAATCTGATCATCCTCGATTACTATGTCTATTGGCGATGATAGAATTATACTTGGAAGATCTTATTGAAAAATTAATAATAGTCTACTAAGAAAGGTAAATTATAAATAGATCATTTATGAAAATTTTAAACTCTGGATTTGCAAAATTTACACTAACTGGCATGAGTATGTAGAATAAAACTCAAAATTCTTCCTGGCCTAGAGCACTCCAATGCAAAAAAGTCGCAAATCTCTTTGTTAATTAATAGTTCCAATAGAGAAGTATCCGACATGAAGGATATTCAGAAAGAAATTAAGTTTTTCTATGAGAATCTGTTCCGTAGCAGGTGTATACATGATACTCTTAAAATTGATCATTCATTTAAACCCACAGTTAAACCAGATGATTTGGAGAGAGAGCTTTGTGAAGGCATTATTACCCTACAAGAAGCATTTGAAGCCTTGAATGCTATGTCCAGAAATAAAACCCCAGGCAATGATGAACTCAGTGTTAAGTTCTACTGTACTTTCTGGCCTCTGTGTGGAGAATACCTGGTTAAGGCATTAAATGCTACATATGTAACTGGTGAATTTTCAAACAGTCAAAACCATCATACTGATTAAAACAAGCAGCCTCTCAACTGAGATAGCTCTGCTGTTAGCATTGCACATTTCAATTAAAGAACTGAAAATATCATCACGAAATGAACAAAATTAAGAATCGAACTTGCAATTTTTAACAAGAAGTCGAAAATATCACTTTTTACCAAAATGACAAAAATATTCATTAAAATTAGAGAATTAAAGATATTATCACAAAATAAACAAATCAAAGAGAGGTCTGCCCAGGATATACATATACGCCAAGTATCAAAGCAATAAGAATTGTACTTTTCAAGAAGAAAATGAAAAAGTAAAAAGTTGATAAGGACAACAGACAGATATGATAAGCTCCGCTCGACATGTCCACAGCAGAGCTATAAAAAAGGGAAAGACAAGCGGTTCATTCGAAACTGGAGACTAATCCCCCTGCTTAATACAGATTATAAAATTGCTCACAGGGTGGATAAGTTACTGCCCAAAATTATTCATGAATGTCAAACGGCTTTTGTAATTTGCAGATCCATTGAGGACTCAATTCGCATAATTGAAGGTATAATGCAATTCACCAAAGATAATAAATTACCTGGGATTCTCGTAGCAATTAATTTCCAGAGCAGAAATATGTCTTGTACAAATGTATACATTAAATCAATTTAATTTCAGTAAATCTTTACAGCATTGCGTTAAAACACTTCACCAAAATCCAATCAGTTGTATGATGGATAGTGGTTTGAGTATTGGGTATTTTGCTCTTGGGAGGGGAGTCAGACAGGGTGACCCTGTATCACCTGCCCGCTTTATTATAGCCATTGAGGTATTTCTGACATCATTTAGACAAAGTGAGTTTATTAAGGGAACAAATTTTTAAGGTTCGGTTATAAAATATTTATCCTTTACAGATTTAACCTGCTCTTTTAATTTAAGGTCTGTTGAAAATTTGTTTACATTGTCAGATGCATTCGGCACTTTTTTTAGGATTACAAGTAAACTTTGAAAACTCGAAGCCATATGGCTTGGGGGATGGAGGTCTCATACGGATAAACCCTATAGTATCTGCCGGCCAATGTCACCAATCAAAATTATTGGAATATATTATTGTAACAATAAAGATCTAGCATATAAATTAAATATTGAAGGACCACTTGATTCGCTGAAGAAATGCTTGCAGCTTTGGTCGGGTTGAAAACTGTCATTGATAGGTAAAACACAAATAGTCAAATCACTGCTAATTTCTTTATTTATTTAATTTAATCTTATAAGTTGTAAAAATCGATGATATTTTAACAATGAACAGATTTATCCACAAATTATTTGAATGGACCAGACAGTGCCACAAGAAATACTATGATTGTTGATATTGCTTAGAGGTGAATAAATTAGTAGATATTTATTCGCTCTGAATTATGCTTTTAGGTTCAAGTGGATTAAACATTTCCTAGACCCAACTGTCACCCCTCGGAGGTAGCATTATCTTCAGAAGTAACTATCAAATTTCTCTACTGTTTACCTCACTGCCTTCTTTTTATAAGAGCCTTCTGTACAACAGGTCAACGTTTCATATGTTCCAAAAGCAAACTCAGTCAGTAGAAATAAGGGTTTGCTACCATATGTAAAGAGAGTATACCAATGTGAAAGCTTTATTGCAAATACAAACAACAAACAGGAGTACTGCATGTTGTAATGTACTTAAACAGGGTACTAAACAAGTAGCCTCTCGGCTGAGATAGCTCTGCTGTTAGCAATGCACAATTAAGAACTGAAGATATCATTAGAAAATGAACAATATGTATAGCATCAAAGCAACCGGACTTGCTGTTTTTAACAAGAAGTCGAAAATATCACTTTTCACCAAAAATCACAAAAATATTCATCAAAATTAAAGAATTGAAGATATCATCAGGAAATGAACAAATCTGAGAGAGGTCCATATGTAGTACCTATATATGTAATATCAAAGCAATTGGACTTGCGGTTTTTAACAAGAAGTCAAAAATATCACTTTTTACCAAAAATGACAAAAATATTCACCAATAATAGAGATTTTGAGATTTTGACATGAAATGAACAAATCTGAGAAAGAACCATCCAAGGTACTTGCATATCAAATTTGAAAACATTCTGACTTGGGGAACTAAAAGTGAAAGTGAGTGATCCATGTGATGGGGAACTATAAATGTGAAAGTGAGTGATCCATGTGATGGTGAACTAAAAATGTGAAAGTGAGTGATCCATGTGATGTGGAAATATAAATGTGAAAGTGAGTGATCCATGTGATAGGGAACTAAAAATGTGAAAGTTAGTGATCCATGTGATGGGGAACTAAAAATGTAAAAGTGAGTGATCCATGTGATGGGGAACTAAAAATGTAAAAGTGAGTATGCATTGATCCTTGACCTGCAGTTATTGTAGCAACAACACTTGCTTGAAGGTTGAAACAAAATTATATTTCTGGTCAGTGTGTACACAACCAAAAAAAAAAAATGCAGACCAATTTTTTCCACTATTTTAGTCACCGATAGTTTGACCAAAAACATTTTTTGATTTTTTGGCAAGACGTAAAAGAATAAAACTAATAGCATTTCAGATTGGTCCAAAAAATGATGGTTGCCAATATTGGCCACTTGTGTATATAATAATAATTATGTACAGTACAGATTAAGTGTAACATATCTTTCAAACTGACTATCAGCTGACAAATTGACTTCTTATAAAAATTAACAGTATTCAAAGTCAGTATCATATAATTACCAAAGACTATGATTATTTACTACCATTTTTCATATATTAATAATTTTAATTCCAGTTTTTAGATTTCATTAAAACACATAATTATAACAATTGTGAAACATTAAAGTGCCTTTGAAATGGTCACTAATACATTTCCCGTTTTAGATTTTTGTTCGACTGAAATAGACAGTTATTGATTTTTTGGTTGAAAATAATTACTCGTATCCAAATAAATTTGAGATATTTCTGGTGTTGTAGCCAGGCCCACCTATCCTGAAACAGTCGACTGTTTCTAGCTTTCCCACTCTAGCCGAAGTAATAGTGCACCACCAAAATATGAGAGGAAACCATACTCTCGCACTATAACTATAAAAAGTTTCTGAATTTTTTGGTGATTGCTGTTGAATGACAACTTCACACTTATGTGATTTTTTTGAATAATAAATGTGCCTTATATACATTATCTGCAATGTACGCTGACCAGAGGTTTTTGTGTATGCAAATGAGAAGCTGGAGAAGGGCCTCGTTTTAAAATATGTAAAAATAAAATTTACGTAGATTGAGTTTTAAACCCATTTTTTCACTTTAAAAATTTATTTTGTACTTAGAAGCATAAAAAATACTAATATGATGTACCAATAAATGATTTTGGGAGTGAAAGTAGCAGGCATTTCACAGGCACTTTAAGGGTCTTTGTGAATAATTCTAAACTGAGACTCATTCAAATACTTCATTCATAGGTCTAAAAAAGCAGTTCTTTCCTAAATCATGAAATATTGAGATAAAATTATTTATTAATAATTATGTTTTCTGTGTTATTTTAAATTGGACATCCATATAAAAAATAATTCACAAAACGTTCCACACGTACATTGTATGAGCCCAGAATAAGTCATGTGTGAAATTGCACACAGACTATGTGAACATTTAACACAGTACAGCACGATCCATCAATCTTAGTAACTATGGTAATTCGTGTAGTAAACATAGTAACATAAATTCAAAGTAGTCTAGTCATTGTCTGACTTTTGACCTAATGGTTCATGTTTGTACCAGTCAGAGACCACTGGAAAACATTCCATAAAAGAATGACAACCTTGGCCTTAAAAATAGTAGAAATTAGAGACTATTGCAAGTTGATAGGAAACAGCTGCCAGCAACTCCAAAAAGCCATCCCAAAACAGTGACACTGCAAAAAAGAATACCCCACTCACATAATTTTGTGAACTAAGGACACACTCCTTCAGTGAGTGCATTTGTTTTGTCATTGATATGGTACAAGATAATTTAGACCCTTTCTGATACTGCAGAAAGAAAAAGCAATTTTTGAAGTAAATTGCTTCAACGAAAATTATTTCAAAATGTTCCTTTAGATAGTTTTGATTCTGGAGTAACTGTAAATTATATTTAAAATCAAGATTTTATGACGCAATCCCCAGAACTTACCGGTACACACATAAACAAATCTGTAAATTGTCTCACAATGATGTATAATGTCTACACCCAGGCTACTCCTGTTTTAGATTATTTCATGGCTGAATATTATTACAAAATACAACAATTCACTGAAGAAAAACACTTAGGAATAATTGTCTTATATCAAGTAAACTAAGGGTGTGCTGGTTGCTATCAATCATTTGTAGAAACCGTGATGTGATTCTATGTACAATTTGGGTTAGGTCACATTTAGAATATTGCATTCAAGCTTATATAGGCTCCCTTATCTACAGAAACACAATAATCTTATAGAAGTACAGACAAAAGAAACATAATTAATTAACAATTTGGGTAATTGTAACTATGTAAAAAAAGATTTGTACAATACAATCTCCATGATAACTTATGTGCTTCTAGAAGAAACAGAATCGTCTATGTAAGTGTTTATTTACAGAGTGGAAAATGCATGAAACAATCTGTCAGAATCTGGGTTCAGGCAAAAACAGTCTTGAATAGTACTGCAGCTATGAGGTAGTAATTGTGAATTACTAAAACAAGGAAGCCTACATGTTTCAAAAACCTTACAGCAGAACTAAGACAATATATTTTTATGGCATTAGTAATAATGTCCAAATGTCGTAAAGATAAGAGAAAATTATATAGTTACTGGCTTCGCCTGAAGCCAATATCAAGATATCAGGTGACTGTTATTGGTCAAAACTGAAGACTGAGGTCATCAACAGCCACTTGGGGGGCAATAATTTTTGATAATGAAAGCCAATGCCCATTACTTTTTTATTATCCCGGGATAAAACTAGAACAGTCAGCTACACATGTAGATGAAACAGAGTACCAAAATGCTACCCCACCCCCGAGTTAAAAATAAAAATTAGTCCTCATGGGTGGAACTCCTTTAAAAGTGTCAAAGATGCATTCTTTCATCTTCATCAATAACCTTTGACTAGATGTTATGACATCAGAGGCAGTATCAATTATGTCAGAGCAAGAAATATGCTGGGAGAGGCCAATATCAAAATGTACCAAATGATTGTTAATATTTAGAACAGCAAAATACAACATAACTAGCAAGCTATTCTAAATTCATGTATTTACTTTCGGAGTTATGATGCTATGTATTTTCTTTTTGTTATACGGTACCGTCTGATGATACCGTTATGTAATAAAGTGAAAATAGTAGCCTATATTTATATCTGCATTACAACACTATTAAATCACAGTAATCACTAGTAGTCGTCTATGTCAACAGTTTTCTAACTGTTTCCCCACGATTGAGCAACAAAAACTGAAAATCGAGAGATCATATCGACGATGAGTGGAATCTCTTTACAGAAGCATAACACAATACACCCTGGACACGGATAATCTGACGGTCACGAATCAGTTCCCTGTAAGTTGCAACATTTACTTCCTGTTACGGAACTTCGAAATTTATTGCTCTCTTTTCGGTATATTGCTTTTTACAAGGTCACACTGCGTGAAATATGTTCCTACTTACCTCCTCGATGCCATTTCTGGCGGTTATTACCACTAAAATGCCAAAAAACAAAGCGGCAAACGTCTTGACAAGTCAAGGAAACGAGAAGAACGAACCTTCTGGAGTGACCTTTCACCTTTCGTGACGACATACTTATGAAGGGCGCCGCCATGTACAAATCTCGGTCTACGTGATACAGATATCTCTGGGTAGCACCTTATCACCAAAACTATCTGTATGTAGTGACATTTTATAATTGGCCAAATAAAAATGTTTCTGGTCAATTTATTTTCTAAATCGCCGAGAATTTGTTTTTCTTACATTTTTTTCTAAAATTATGACAAATAATATGGTATCTCGTTCTTGGAACAGAGCTCATTGGGCCATCGAACTCTCGAAAGTGTGGAAATATTTATACCTTGGTAACTACAAACTATATATATATATATCCTTATTTATAAACTGGAATCAATAATAAATGTATTTATACCAAAACCCAAAATGGCTGACCTTCCTGTCCAAATGGGCATCTGGCCGGGTGGTTTAACTTTAAATCCCTTATTATTCAATATAAGCTAAGATAAGATAATTCTTTATTACAACCTTATAGAATGAATTACACATCTATTTTGGTTTATAAAATGTACACTAGTATATATATATACGTTTTTAAATTGAATAACTTTTTTATAACTGATGTCCATTGTACGCTGACGATCTTGTAATCCTATCAGACGCCAAATTAGGTTTACAAACTGCCAGTGTAAAAATGGAGAATAAACATTAATATTGCAAAATTAAAAACTATGATATTTAACAAAAGTGGGAAAACATTAAATAAAAAAAAATATAGAAATGATCTAGAATTAGAAAGAGTATCTTCATACACGTATCTTGGTATAAAACTGAATACCACTGGGAACCTAGATATAGCACAACAAGTTTATATGAAAATGTTTTATGAACAAACCAATACTCGCGTATTGCGCAGAAATATTGAAATGTGACATAATAAAAATTAAAAAATGTTATGCATTCATTGTCACCAATGGAAAAAATGCACTTAAATATTGCAAGATTAAAATCAGAGGAATTGTTTTGAAGTAAAGACGAAAAACAACTTTGTTAATTCGCGTATATACTCAAATTGGATCAACATATAGGTGGCATCGTGATTACTTATTCTGATGATGGTGCTGATTATTATTTAGTTTGGAGCATCGCGGAGGGCCAACTCACGCCACCTTGTCAAGTTGATTATTATCATTCTAATCATGCCCACTCATTGAAATATACAATGGGTTTGAAACTATAAAATCATAATTTATATTAATATGCTATATTGAATAGCGAACATATTTTCAAAATAAAAAAAATAAAAAAAATACGCCAAAAGCTTTCTAAATATATCTTACTTGTATAGCACCCCTCGTGCCGGTATGAGTGAGTCGTCTGTTAGATCATAGACCATCCAGTAGACTGGAGGGTCTATGGTTAGATTTATTGCAGGCATTCCATTTAAATCCATCCTGAAAACCCCAATGCGCAAAGTTATAAAATCCGATTTCAATCCCATGCGTTAGTATATATAAAGGGGGGCAGGGGGGAATATCTGGCACAGATTACAAGAAATAATAACGGCATTTTACGTTTTTACACTAATTAAAATGAAAGTTTCATTTACAGTAAAAAATAGGTTTTTACACTTTAAAGATAAAGCAATTTCCCAATTATATTTTACATTTTTATATTTTTGATAATTTGAGTTTAAGAATCAAAATTGGAAATTGCGTACGAATTGTGACATTTAATTTGGAAAATGCTCTATACGCTTACCAAAAATAATATCTTTGTACAAATTACGGACGAATCAAATAGCTGATTATATTTTACAGCTAGCCCATGTCTACGAAATTACGTTTTTTTTATTTTTCCATGACAATATTCACACAAAACTGAGAATTGTTATCAAGAAAATGTTGTTGTTTTTTTCATTTAATTTCAAATTAGAAATGCAAATTAATACCTAAACCGGGAACTGTATATTAAAAGCGACGAGATTTTACATGTACCGGTAATCCGATTGCATCATGATGTTGCGTGGATGCTGAGGTCCCGTTGTTCTCGTACTTTCTCGCGTTACTTACAATCTCCATTGAACATATATCAGACCATAATTAAAGATAGGTATTATTCAGAATCATTGGTACAATTAGCATATTGAAATTTTTGGAGAAATTATAGGTGGTTTGCAGGAATTTTTCTTCTGAACTAGAAATAACACAATATTTTGCAACTATAACGGTTTCCGAACCAATCAGATGGCATGTTATTACCGCAGAGGGAAACGCGTAATGCGCATGCTCAAATCGCTGTAATATGTATATGAGGTGTCGTCAAGTTTCATGGAGACGTTATTTACATGGTCCTAAGGGAAGTATCTAGCGGCATTATTCCGCGATTTTCAAATTTTTGTTTTATCTGTGTGTGTCTCAGGTATAATAGATTTAAATAACTCGAGCAGATAACTAAAGAAACCACCAATTCACCAAGGAATCGCGATCGCGCCGTGTTTACCTACTGAGTCCTTTTTCAATGGCGGAATATTTGAGTTGAGGGCTCCGGGCCTGAGGTCATTGCATGGGTATCGAAATCTGTCGATCAGTTGTGACACTACATTTACTTTAACAATATCAACTTGGTCGCTACTCTAATAGATTTTGTTCCTGGGGTATTGAATGGACAGTTAATAACGCATCGACTATCACCCACTAGAATTGAGTCCAACAAGTGATAACTTGACTTACTGACCTCAACTCAGAGACTTGACAGGTCCTGTGACAACGTTGTACGGCGACAGAGAATCAACATACAGGACTTATCTTATCATTTATTTGTTCAAAACATTAAATTGATTCTATACTACATATTTCAGGTAAGTTATTTGTCGTTTTTCGAATGGTAATGTAATGATTGTGTTTATTGTTTACCTTGAACATAAATTTGATGAAAAATCAAGTTATCACCTGATATCACTTGCTTGTAAGTTGTACAGCTGAAGTGCGTTAATAAAGTTGCGATAGTTTATGTTTATACCCTAACCCCAACCCCTCCACCCTCCAATGTGAATGCCTCTTCAGATAACTACATGTATGTGTCCTGAACGTGTACATGTATACAATTAAAATGGTGGGAGGGGCACTAAAGGGACAGGGTTCGGATTAGATTATTATTAGAGTTAAGATTAGAATTAGCCCATAAGAAATAATTTATCGATACTTGTGAAGTCATATGGTCTCGCAACATCCATGATTCGATAATAGTTGGTTAATAGATTATCGTAACACTGCCAATGTCGCAACAAGTGTCAGCCAACAAGCAACTCAATAATGATCAAGTTTGACGAACTCCAAGTGCCAATAAGACCATGGACGTACTATTAGTATGTCCATGATAAGACAAAGAAATCAAAACTTTATGTAACTACACTTACAAATCATATGCACCATACAATGTTATGGCTGCTGGCTGTTATCAGCAATTGGCATAAATATTACTATTACTTCAATATCTTTTTGAAATCAATATTCACTCTGTAGTATTACGAGCTAGTGTCATTGCACTATTCAAGTAATCGTTGTAGGTACCACTGCATGATTTATTTTTCTCTATGTACCGTTTGCACAGTACAATGTTTACTGTGAATAAAAAATAAACCCAATCAGCAGTATCTCAATATTGATGTACATGTATCTCACTGTTTACTAGCTTACATGTACCATTATAAATTGTTACTGGTACAATTATTATTGCTACATAGTAAAACAACTAGCTACATGTATATTGCAATACTGGTGGTTGGGTTGCATTTTGTTCACAGTAAAGAGAATTTCATAACGTTTACATGCTAAATGTCACAACTGTGAATTAATGTATTAAGATTTAATATTGAAGTATCATATTTGCTCACTTTTATGTATTTGTGCATACATTCATGTAAATGTAAGTGTGTCTGTGGTAAAGATATAACTGGTCTTGAATTTCATGGAGGCTTAAAAGACTTGCTTTGGTGCCCTTTGATATTGTCTATATTATTCCTATATGCTAACACCAGTTTATAAATGTTGTCATTGAAAAAGGATACTCTCAACTCTGATGCTCTTGCCCTGGTTTAATAACTTTGTTCCATAGATAATGATTAGTATTAAAAATATATTCTACCAAGTTACATGTACATTTACATATACAAGTGTTTTGTCATTGTAGTTAAAACTGAATATGTTGAAAGTCTACTGTGTAGTCAGTAACAGTGAATAGCATTACACTTCATAACATTGTGTATAGAATAGTTCCATAGTTGAAGTTTAAATATTTTACAGAAACATTCATTTTATTGTTCCAGAATGTTAACTAGTCTTTGTGTTTATTAAAATGGAAATCTTTTGTTCACATTTGCTGACTGGGTTCAATTAACATAAATCTGTTAGTTAATTTTTTCTCTGGGTCTTATGCAATACATTGTACCTGTATTTATTAGATAATGTTTAACAAATTAGTA